TTGTTAAGAACCGTGTCCAGAACTGTCTGGCTGATTCGTCTAGCTGCTGAATTATGTGGCTTAGGTCATCGGCGTCTGGTGGTCGCACATATGTGCCCTGGAAGTTTTCAAGGAATGCGGCTTCCAGGTCTTCCCAACACCCAATTGATTCTGCTGGCAGGCTGTTAAGCCAATGCCGAGCTGGTCCTTTAAGCTTGAGTGGGAGATATTTGATGGCGTGAAGATCGTCACCGCGGGCCATGTGGATATGAAGGAGATAGTCTTCGATCCAAACCGCGGGGTCTGTTGTGCCATCGTAGGATTCAATGTTCACGGGTTTAAACCCTTCGGGGATTTGATGATCCATTACTTCATCTGTGAAGCATAGTGGGTGTGCGGCGCCTCTATATTGGGCTATATCACGACGTAGCTCCAACGAGCTTTGTCTACTGTGTTCGGCCCGGCCGGAGTTGCCGTATCCGGCGCGACGGTCGTCGTCGCGCATCGTGTGGTGCCCACGCGATCCGTAGATCGATCTTGATTGTCTTGCCTTATACTCCAATATATCTCGCAAGTCCGGCGCATTCCCCCGTGGCTTCGTACTTTTCGAGCGGTGCCGGGGTACGGTTCTAATGGAGGGCCTAAAGGCCTCTCTGTCGCGGCCACGATGTGGTCGGTCAGCCGTATTGCACTCTGGAGATGTAGCTTTATATGCCTCCTCCTCTAATCGGTGGAGCAACTTGCGTTTGGGGTAGCTTTTGGAGTGGCGTTCGAGTTCATACTCTTCGGCCACAAGGACTTCAGTCCATCTGTCGGCCAGCAGATCTTGATCAGCTCTAAGCTGTTGCTGCTTTTTCTTTAGGCTATTTGCCGTGGCCATTAGCCTGCGTTTGAAACGCTCTTGTTCGACGGGATCCTCGGGCACGACAAATTCGTCGTCGTTGAGGCTTGCCTCGTCTCCGGAGGGAGGCATGTAATTGTCATCCTCTACCTCTTCGTCTGCCGCTCTCTCATGAGGGTTGGCTTCTCCATCCTCCTGTGTTGAATCTTGCTGGAGGGGGTTCTCTTCGGCACTCTCTGGGGTGTTGTTATCTCCGGTGCCGGAATCTCCATTCTTGCTGTGGCGGGATTTAGAGCGGCGCCGCTGACGCCGGCGCTTGGGCTGTTTCTTGGAGGAGTCTTCTTCCGCTTTTTCCTCGCCATTCCCATCCTTTGGGATGTCCACCATATATATGTCGTATGACGAGGTGGTCTTCCAGTGCCCCGTAGGCACTGGTTCGGGGTCGTCTCCGGCATCGTCGTCCATACCGTCGATGTCTTCGGAGTCGTAGTCTAGAATGTCGGTTAGATCATCGACAGTGGCTACAAAGTGGGTGGTGGGTGGGCTTTGAATTTCTTCGTCGTCCGCATCCCAACCATCCTGACCGCAATTCGGCCAGGGCTCTCCTGATAGCGAGAGATACTTTAGCGAATTCAGGATGTCGCCAAAAGGTGAGTGTTGAAAGATGTCCGCGGTGGTGAACTCCATGATCGGCGCCCAATCGGATTCGATTGGAGGGGGCGCAGGAGGTTCGGAGTCCGGCGAGGAGTCCGGCACCTCGGAGTCACGAGCGTCGCAAGGGACAAGGTCAGTATTCGGCTCCATCGCCGTAGAGGTTGCAGCCCCCGAGGCGGTGTCTAGCCACCCATCCTTGATCTGCGCAGTCGGCTCCGAACTAAGGGTCGGAGCGGACTCGTGTGCAGCCTCCAGGGTACTGTCCGGCAGCAGAGCTAAATCATGCACATCGAGACAGTGCAGCGCGCTCGGCTGTGGCTCGAATCCATCGAGGATCAAGTATCCGCGGATGTCAGCCGTGAAGTTTAGACTTCCAAATCTGACCTGATGGCCAGGGGCGTAGCTTTCGATCTGCTCCAGATGGCCAAGCGAATTGGCCCGCAGTGCAAAGCCGCCAAATACGAAGATCTGTCCGGGGAGAAAAGTCTCACCCTGGACTGCGTTCTTGATGATGATCGAAGGAGCCATCAAGCCTATCGGTGACGACACAGAGGAACTCTCAATGAAAGCACCAATGTCGGTGTCAAAACCGGCGGATCTCGGGTAGGGGGTCCCGAACTGTGCGTCTAGGCGGATGGTAACAGGAGACAAGGGACACGATGTTTTTACCCAGGTTCGGGCCCTCTCGATGGAGGTAAAACCCTACTCCTGCTTGATTAATATTGATGATATGGGTAGTACAAGAGTGGATCTACCACGAGATCAAGGAGGCTAAACCCTAGAAGCTAGCCTATGGTATGATTGTTGTTCGTCCTATGGACTAAAACCCTCCGGTTTATATAGACACCGGAGAGGGCTAGGGTTACACAGAGTCGGTTACAATGGTAGGAGATCTACATATCCGTATTGCCAAGCTTGCCTTCCACGCCAAGGAAAGTCCCATCCGGACACGGGACGAAGTCTTCAATCTCGTATCTTCATAGTCTTGGAGTCCGGCCGATGATGATAGTTCGGCTATCCGGACACCCCCTATTCCAGGACTCCCTCAAAGGTTGTCTCAAGAAAGCCATTCAAAAGGATATCTTACTTATGCATGCAACCCAGAAGGAAAAGATGGTGAAATATTTTCAAAATTTCACGTATCGAGTTGTTGTCACCTCATACTTGTGGACTGCATGCCATCACAATAAAGGTTGCATAGTTGTTACTACGCATTTTGTTGAAGAATCTTTGAAGCTAAAGAGCTTCATTTTGAGGTAAGTTTTCTTAAAGTAGACCTTTTTCTAATCGTTGTGAATCTGAACTGTTTGGTTAATCATTTTGAATTTGAACCTAGATGTCTTCTTATATCTTAGGTTTGTTTATGTACCATGCCCACATAACCCTAAGGTTATATGTCAAGCTCTACATGAATGTCTTGTTGATTGGCATCTAGAGAGGAAGTTGTCCACAGTTACCCTTGACAATTGCACACGTAGTAACAAGGTTGTTGATATTTTGATAGATAAGTTGGATACCAAATCCTTATGTTGGAGGTTAGTTTTTGCATATGCGCTGTTATGTACATATACTTAAACTAATTATGAAAGACGGAATGAGTGTCATGGATAAAGGCAAGTCTAGATTCCACAATAGTGTTGCATTTTCGCAGGTCATGCCTAAAAGTTACGGGAAACTTGAAAAGATGACACATGCTCTAAACATTGACTATGGGAAGGTTGTTTCTGGATTGCAATATTAGGTGAGATTAAACATATAAAATGATATCCATTGCATTGCTATACTCTGTTGTTTTTTATAAACTAAGCACACATGAACTCCTATTCAACTGTTGCCGAATCAAAGATGATTGGAAATATGTAAAAGAACTCTGTGATAGGCTAAAAGTTTTCTTTGACATCACCAGCCATTCACGGGGACTAAATATGTTACATCAAATATGTTCTTCCCCAAAGTATCCTATTCGTCTAACAATACGGAAATGGTCTGCTAGTGGGCATGCTCCTTTCCAAAAGATGGCCGAGGAAATGAAGACAAAGTTTGAGAAGTATTGGAAAGAAGTCCTTGATTCAGGATATAAGTTTCATATGTTGCAGGCTTTGTTTGGCTGGTCGCGGTTCTCCATGAGCTCTTGTGTTGGTGGGTCTTCGATGTGTGTGGCTTCGGTGGTGATCTGGCCAGCCTCTCTTGAGGCCCAGGTGTGTGGTTAGTTGTTTAGCGTCAGGGGAAAACCCTGCTGCCGGTCGTGAACAGGGGCAGACAACGGTGTCGCCCACAGGAGTCTTCTCCTTATTGAAGGTGTCGTTGAGGCGTTATGCTCACTTCCCTTCACATGGAAGCTTTCGGGGAAACCCTTGATTCTCTCGGGATCAGATGGATGGCGACATGCATCACACCTCTTGGGGCATCGTTCGAGGAGCTTCGTACCGGCTGTAGGGACCAGTGATAGGCAGTGATCGTCGTTGGTGCTGCTTAGTCGACAAGATTAGGGTTTGATGCAATAGGGGTTCGATTGAGGTATTCATCTGTAGGCGGGTTAGAGAGTTCTAATCTTCTTTGGATCACCTCGTTCCCATGAGACAACCCTCCCTCTCTATGAGGGGTGTTGTCAGGTGGCGACCTGATGACCAATGCTCAAGGTGATGCCTTAATTGGTTAGATGACGATGATGTTGAAGACCTACTCCGGTTGCTTGAGCTTGCTTGATCTCTGGAGCAAAGTTATTGTTGTTGTGTTATCTTCTGTGTGTTGTTGTGGTCCGTAGTTATCGCGTATGCTCTTCGGAGAATTTGTTGTAGTTGTGTGCTCATCTTAAGGTTTGTAATATCTTCTTAATTAATGAAATGCAAAGCTCATTGCCTTTCGTCATCTTTTTGAATATACTATATATTATTGCAATGTCTGGTTTGCACACGAAAGATATAAATTAGCAACACATGCAAGTCTAGTAGTCTTGGTTGGTTATTATATCATACAAAGTATCAAAGGGAGAAACAATGGATGTCATGCATCGTGATTTCGTATTTGGCTCTCCATGTGTTTGCCAACTAATCCCTTCAATCCAAAATATGATGTGCAGTATTAGTGTTGGAATAAGTCAAATGTTTCTTTGTTTGATCAAGTTAATAGCAAAATATATCAGGATCTACGATACTAAATAAATAAAGTATGAAAATATTTTTTATCAAGAATCCAGTAATAATGATTTGATATCGTAGGCATTGATACGTTCTCTATACACTTTGTCAAAACTATAAAAGGTTGACATTTTTTAAAAATTTATACGGCTTAATTTGAACCTGACAGAGTGTGTTCGATAAAATCGTCAGATTTGCTATTTCTCAGGTGTTTGAAATTCCTTTTCGCGTCAGTCACTTTCTTTTTCTTCCTTCCCTCTTGGTTGGACTTTGCTGGAGAGGACACAAGCTCGCCGGAGAAGGAGTAGCCCCACTATCTATCTTAGGGTGAAGTAGTGGCCCCATTATCTATCTTAGGGTGTGTGTGGGGGGGAGGGGGTTGCAAGGGATCACCGGAGGTTTTCATGGATGGTGCCGGGCTTAGAGGTATGTCCGGGGTGGTGGCTAGCAACGACGGTGGGGAAGGGGGCGACAAGGCGGTGCGCAATAGCGCCCGCCGACGGCGGGTACTTGAGGCTGGCGGTTAGAGCAGGGTAGGCTGGGCATTCGAGATCAGGAGGAGGCAGAAGGAGGGGAGGAAGCCGATGAACAGTAGCATGATCTAATTTGGACCATTAGATCAAGATCCGACGGTGCCACGGTTTTTTTAGGCACTCAAATGGATGTACTCGCTCCGTTCCCTTATACAAGGCTACTATCAAAAATACATTTTGCATCTATACAAGGCCACTAGCAGTAATTGAGGCAAAAATAATGATGTTTTCTAGTCATAATGGCACTGTGCTAGTTCCTTCTCATTCATTCATGCATGTGAACATATTAATGATCTTGATTAACAAAAAGAACGTAAACTGAGTTTGTGGTCTTATATAAGGGAATGGAGGGAGTATGTAACACTAACTTGGTGTATCCATTTGAGGGATAAGCTTTTTCGGATTGAGGGAGTACGTGCTAGCTTGTCCTTGCAAAAAGAAATTAAAGAAGGGAACGACAATGCAAGTCATTCATTCATCATCCACCTTGTTAGTGGACCAAATAAACAGAGCAGCAGGGCAGGATGTTTGCAGGCCGGGAGCTGCCTCACCGTCTCCCCTTCGTCGAGGGCGCCGAGGCACACGGCGCACTCGGCCGGCGCCCAGTCCGAGCTCTCCCGCAGGTAAGGGAAGGACGGGATGAGCGCGATGGTGGCGGCGTCGAGGCCGAGCTTGGGCTGCTGCTGGGCCTGTCCCTCACCTTGCAGGGGCTGCGCGCTGTGGCGCGGCGTCCACGTGCGGCGAAGGTGGATGAAGCGCAGGCAGAGAAAGACAAGGACGGAGAGGAAGCAGCAGGCGAAGGATGCTGCCAAGGCGGCGACCAGCGTCGGGGTGGCGCAGCATGGGGCCACGTCTGCTCCCTGCTGCGAGCCTGTGCTGTCATAGGAGGACACGGTGGCGCGCGGAGCAAATATAATTGCTTTGTGAGCACTAGTGAAACCGTAAGCTACCGGCCGGCTACATATATGTAGATCGATCAATCTCGGTATGGGATGGAGCTAGCATTCGGTGTGCTGACTGTTATGTAAAGTGCATCATGTATGACGTCTTCTCTGAATAATGCTCTCAAGTTTCTGCAACACCCGGATTTTAAATAGAAGCATGCAGAATGTCGCGCATAGGGTGTTCTTAACCTTCCCTTTAATAACTAGTAAAATTGCACGTGCGTCTGCACGTATCCGATTAATGCACCAAGAATAGGCTATTTACAAATATTAATGTGCACAAATATTTCATGGGGCAAATTATCATTTGTCGCAACATGTTTTCATCTAGAAGGGACAATTATCAACTGTTCTTCGTACTATTTCATACCTTGTTAAAAATATTATTTGCTTGTTTATAACTTCCATGTTTTACTAAATTCTAGTTAGATTCTCAGTACAACGCCTTCAAAATCCATCTCTTTGTGTAGGAAATGATAACATTCGCTGGAACAGAGTTGCTAGCTGAAGATATTGTTAGAACATGTGCCATAGAATTTGTCTTGTGAGTGTTGTTAGATCAACTATGTGATAGTAAAGGCAAATAACATACTTGTTCAAGTAAACATCTGCAGTATATCCAAATCATTGTACAAATATGAATAATTATTCTTGAGTCGTCACATATGGGTGAAGTTTCTTCCGGCCTACAAAGCATACATAGGACAACACCATCAAGTATTCACCAACTTCTTATGATACCTGTAGTATTAGAACACAAAGGGGAAACGTCCTCTGGGTAGCGGTACACCTGCATATTATTATTATGTAGTGAGAATTCATAAAAATGTAAAGGAGACATATCTTTGGAGAATTCATAAAAACGTCTTTCGTATGGTATCGTGAATTTTTTTGCTTTACTAATATCTACATGTGCACCTCGGATTAAAAAGGTCAGAGTGCACAAAAATGACATATCACTGACTAAACGGGTGGCTAAATATTAAGCTCTCTGTAGAAGTGGAATGTGGAATTTGACCCAGAGTAGCTTTACATTGCAGAGACTATCAGTTAGTAAAGTGCACTAAACATAAGTACTAAATGACTTGTGTCCAATGGTTCCAGGCGTGTATTACCTTTTATGAAGATTGACAAAAAAGTCTAACAAACACCAACACATTTACTTGCTCCAAGAATGATGATAGTTGTGAATTATGTAAAAGAGCACATACATCCATGTAAAGTATATTGTCTTGAATTTTCTCGCAAAAGGACACAAGAGCTCTTATCATGTCAGGAAACCTTCAGCCGCCAACATAACTTTGTCGTAATACAGATTAATCTCAAGAGAAAATATACTAAAGATTATCAGCATAACACAAGGAAAATATTTTCAGACTTGCGTATATAGCAGCATTGAACATAATGAAAATGATACAAAAGTTCAGATGGAGAGAAAAACACAGCGTTCTGGAGTGTAGAGACCAAAAAGCTTCTCTGAATGAAGTAGCACTTACTTTAGGCTCATTTCTGCAAGACACAATAGGAGAAGACGAATCTTGCAAATTTCTTTTACATATGGTCGCTCTACAGATATATAGTAAAGGATTAGAAGGCGTACAATGTCAATGATCTTAGGGAGTCCACACAGTATTGGTAATAGTTTCCCATCAACCTCAAAATACTGTATCAAAAACAAATAAAGTTCTTTGTACTTCGTAACTTGAATGTGCCTAAATATGTGGGTTCAGATAACTTTGTGGAAGAGCATATTTCAATAGAGCTTCAGACATACCTGAAAGAGCAGATACGTTAGTAATATAGACAAGTCCAAGCAAGAGAGATATAGAGATTAACAAGTATGTATAGAAATTCAACATGTACTTCAGTGCAGAAAGAGTATTAAGATCTAGTAGCTGCAATGAAACAGATGTTAGCAAGAAACCTAAAATGTATCAGAAGAGGAAGAAATACAGAGACACTGCCGACACAATAATTATGTCCTGCAGCAAGTGCCGCGAGCATCACTTTGTACAACCCGTGATGGTTGACTCAAGCTTGTTCTTGTCAACACTATCAAGTACATAAGACACATTGAACAAAATCCTATCATTGCTAGCCAGAAAGAAGATAAGAACGCAATATATTCAATTCTCTGGTTCGAGTAATTGGTCAAAAGAAGATAACATGATGTTCAGAGGCTAATTCGTACCTCTGCGTTCAAGCCAAAAATCATCTTTGATGAAATACCATCCCTTGCATCCAAAATTCCAAAAGGATGAAAAATTGCAATTATTAAGAAATGATAACACAATTCGAAGGGTAGCAGCAATAAAGTGTCCTTTTGATGGTACCTATCAGCACCCACACAAACCCAAAGGATGATATGATTCTTCAACATCTTTTGTATTTTACTTTGAATCCATTCAGCATCCACACAAACCCAAAGGATGATACACAAAAGATTCATAATTGTGTAGAGCAGGGACACACTTGTGAACCTGAAGTGTAATAAAGAATAGCAACTTATATCATTGTTTTTTATTCTGTAGAAAGGTTTTTATTCTAGAACTACGACATATGCATCAAATACAATCATGTATGAAAACTGATCTTCTGCACCTGCATGTGCTACATTTGCCTACATATTTTGGTGAAATCATGAAGTATGTGCTTTGTGTATGTCCTTTGATATGTCATACATGACGCAATGGTTGAAACATACCTTCAATAAAACAACACACCAGGAGATCAGCTATCGTGGTAGGGTATGTGGCCGGCCGAACTCGCCTATTATAGATGGATGCCAGGGTGACTGCGCATACAGCGGTGTCGTCAGTTGGGCAAACGACGTTGAGGATGAATCACGGTGGGGGCAGGCTCTCACGCGGAGGCGGACTTGCGTGGCGGGCAGGCTCTCGCGCAGCGGCGGGTGCAGCAGATGCGGGCTCGCGTGGCGGAGGCCTCAGCTGAAGCCGGTTAGCGCGGCGACGGCTGGCTCGCGTGGTAGCGGCCTCGGCAGATGTGGGCTCGCCTGGCAGAGGCCTCAGCTGAAGCCGGTTAGCGCGGCGACGGCTGGCTCGCGTGGTAGCGGCCTTGGCAGATGTGGGCTCGCATGGCGGAGGCCTCAGCTGAAGTCGGTTAGCGCGGCGACGGCTGGCTCGCGTGGTAGCGGCCTCGGCAGATGTGGGCTCGTGTGGCGGAGGCCTCAGCTGAAGCCGGTTCGCGCGGCGACGACAGGCTCGCGTGGTAGCGGCCTCGGCAGAGGCGGGCTCGGCTGGCAGGCTCCCGGGGCGGCAGCGAGATCGCGTGTAGGGCGGCCACAATGTTGCAGGGAATCTGCGTGCAGGAGAACAATCAGATCTTGAATAGGGAAGAGGGCAGGATGGTCGTGAAGGAGTTGACGGAGAGCGTCTGCCTACTCGACGGCGCAGTACATGGAGGCGATGGAGGACAGGGAGCATGGGGCTGCGCTGCGGAAGAAAGAAAGCCATCGGGATTGCGGGCGAAGGAAGGCGAGGGCGACCGCGACCAGTTTCCTTTTTCCTGCAAAATGATCACGCGGTGGGAGGGGCGGGGACGCGGTGATTTTTCTGTTGGTGGAGTATGGTCAGCCAAGGTAAATTGCTAAGTGTACATCAGATCACGATTAGATCAACGACGGCTGTTAGATTTAGAATGATGAGCCTAAATGTGTGGTGTTGATTGGTTCGTGCGGGGTAGTGAGACTAATTGCAGGGTGCACATAAAAAAGATGTTGTTTAATTGTTTAATAGTAGTGTAGATGTAGATTCGGTAGAGTACGCAAAGTTCATCTGGTTAAACTGATTGTAGAATTTAGATATTGGGGGCGTTTGACTAGCTTTCTCTTACATGAAACTGTAATCGAACATGACTTTTACACTCGACATGTTGTATACATAGATGCAGCGCGTACAGTTTTCTTGTTGCGTGAACACCAACGGCTACAGAGTTGAACTGGTCGAGCACGTGCCTCTTCCATCCAGCCTATATGCTTCATGTTCTGTGACCGTTTTTTTAAAATCTAAGGTAGAAAAAAAAGGTAGTGTGGCCAAAGTGCACCGACATAACAAGTTTCCTGACTCACAATGGTTTATTTTACCAAGTTTTCAGACGACCAAACAAGTCACGTGGTGACTCCCAATGTCATTTACTCCTACTTGTTAACTGCTTGTGATATTTTTTAATTTGTTAGATTGTAAACTCTCTATTTTGTAGCACAGTATAATCGAAGTCGCTCACATACATGAACATACGCTCATCCCTATGAACGCACATACACACCCTATCCTTATAAGAATCTGCAAGAGACTGAGCCAGCATAACATCTTGAGATTGACTAAGCCACGACATGCGCCTCGTAGCCGATGAAAACATCTCCTCCCACCGAAAGAACATCGTCCAAAAGTCTAAAATAAATCTAAAAGAATGAGAACACCAATGTAAACTCTCTTTAATATTGCTTTGTTAAGACTTGTACAACAAGGTTTATGATTTAGCTCTAGCTGCTAACCTCCGTTAACAAAAGCTTCCACAATACAAATTAGAAATGACAAGATGTCGAGAAGTCGTTTCCTTGATAGGACCCATGTCACTCTCTCGATCAATCAGTACATTTATGGCTATGCTATGGCCCACACCGTAGGGGCCACAACGATGGTGAAGCCTACTACCCCATACCCGGGGCAAGTACTGACTGCGAGTACATTGTCACTTATCGAGCGTGACACATGGCTTAGAGCAAATACAATAGTGGGTTATAAGTCTTCTTACATGGCACTTTTGCCTATATAGAGGAGAGAGACAAGAAAAAAAAGGAGTCAGCCACTACTTGTGCTCCTAGGAAAAACATTTAATGAGAAGAAAGAAATAGAGAGAAACTGGAAAAAATCTAACCTTATAGACAACCTTATAGCCAGCCTTATTGTATGAATAGTTAATAATGTTAACTCTTGATGACATGGCATGTTTATATAGCCAGCAACTAGCTATATTAACGATGCTCTTAAAGTGTTCGTTCATGGTATGACGCGCTCGTACCTCATCGACATCAAAGGACAAGGAGTTGGTGGGGGGAGG